CTCATCTTTCTAAGAAGTTACTGTTTAAACATTAGAGAAGTCAATATTTTCATTGACTATGATATGGGCGATAGCATATCATTTGACATTATTATTATTATTATTATTATTTTTTTTTGTTGACGGAGTGGGTATCCGGGTCAAGTCCGTAAAGGCGGCCCGACTAATCCCACTTTGGCTCGGCTAGGGCTGCAAACGAGCCGAGCCGAGTCGACCTTTGAGCTAATCGAGCCGAGCCTTAGCTAAATTTTATCAAGCTCGAGCTCGACGAGCTGGCAATTTTCGAGCTCAAGCTCGACTCGAATCAAGTCGAGCCGAGCTCGAGCTCGAAAAAAATAAAATTTTTTTTTATTTTTAAAAAAATTAAATAAAATAATATTTTTTCTGAATAAATAATAAAATATTAAGGATATATCCGTAATTTCACTATGAAAATAAAAAATAAAAAAAATAAATATATAATATACATAATTTTATTATTAAATAAAAATAAAATAAAAAATATATATATATATTCAAGCTCGCGAGCCGGCTCGCGAGCTAACGAGCTTAATATTCTGAGCTCGAGTTCGAGCTCGAGTTTGACTCGAGCTGGCTCGAGCTCGATTAATGTCGAGCTTGACTCGAGCGGCTCGCGAGCGGCTCGATTCGTTTGCAGCCTTAGGCTCGGCCCAGCGTCCCAACCAGACCTAGCATGTTAGATGCTAGGAGAAGCCGATGTTGCTGCGGAGGTTCGACCCCAGGACCTGACGGTCCCGAAGAAGAGACGCCAACCACCAGCCCATTCACGTGGGGGCTTGACATTATTATTTATAGTCTTAGTCATTCATGCCATAATAAAACTTATAAATTTCATATGATATCGACAGTTCTTAAACTATCACATATCTTTCATCATCACTTAAAGTTTTTGTCACAATTCTAGACATGGTTGGCTAAGATGCAAAGAACTCAAGAGGCAAAAAAAATAAATAAACAAACAAATAAACAAAGAGGATGTGAAATTGGTAAACCAGATAAGATAATGATGAAGATAAACAAGAAACCTACGCTATTTATAAGAAACAACATACAAGCTCAGTACATATTTGAATATCAATGCAACAACCTCTACACATAATTAAACACCCTCTGCTTCATTTCTTCATCTTCCACTCATTGAAATAGATAATTAAAACCGGCACAAAATCGAAAACGATGTCTTCCAACTCGCTTAAAATTTCTAAACTCGTTTTCTATTGCCTTGGTGAATTCAATTGGCATGCCCGTGAATTCAAACACCAGCGCATAATTAAACACCCTCTGCTTCATTTCTTCATCTTCCATTCATTGAAATAGAAAATTACTAGCACAATCTTTCATCATCACTTAGTAGTACTCAGTGTAAAGTGATCAAAAGGTAAATTTGTCAATTATATTTGATTTTGACTTTTTCGTATTGATTATTAATTTTAATGAAAAGACTAACGGTGATATTTTAACTCAAATCATGAGGGAATTATGTATAAGTTTTTAAATTATAAAAAATTGTATGATAAAGTACCAAACTACAGCAGAATAAATGGTACTTTACTTAGTATATTAATGTTTCGACTAAACATGTCGAGTACATCATGACAGAGCAACTTTCCACATTTCACTGGTTCCACAAAAATGTTATACCTAGAGTTATAGAGATCACAGACAATGAGTTTTATGTGAAAAATTATGTTAGCACTCCTTAAAAAATTTCTAACACTCCATCCTCCCTTTAAAAACATAAAGGGAGGATAGAGTGCTAGAGACTTTTTAAAGAGTGTTAATAATATCTTCCATTTTATACTAAAAAAAAACTATTCAAAGATGGCTATAATCTTTATAAATGTATCAAATAAAAAGTTCTGATTAGATTATGCTCAAAAAATTCAGTAAACGCGAGTATTAAAAATATTTTAGCCAACTTTATGGCTTCTAAAATCTCAAATAAACATCAATTCAATCAGTTATTTATATGACAAAGAAAAGGCCTTGTTGTCTAGTTTCAAACTAAGCAAAATCGGATTTTTCTACATGTTATTCTTCTGATATCTGCGCAAGTAGCCTGCAAGTTTATATCTCACAAGTTTTGAAAATCTTAGCCGTTAGGTTCATGAATTTCTAGGCTTGCAAACTTACCCGAATTCACACCAAATATGCTCTATATCATGTAAGTTCAATGGTTAGCATAAAGCCCTCAATTTTTCACCAACTTATGACGAGTACAAACAACAGTTTCCTTGCCAAATAATTTTGAGCCATGAACATGACAAGAACATCAATCAAAACCAATGAAATCACCGCAAAAAAAAAATTTTTTGTTTTGAACTACGAATAGTGCAGACATAATCCTAGGGTATTCGTATACTTTAAGCTGGGGAAAAGAGACATTGTTTCAAATATAACTTGGATCTTACTTGATTATGGACCAAGGTGCTGCAATGGTGAGTCCTTTTTTTGCCTCAAGTATATGATGTTTTCCTACTAATTTTTTATTATTTTTTTCTAACAAGAAATGAGTGAAATTTAAAATGCAAAAAAAGGGCAGGAGGATTAGAACCCAAGATCTCTTATTCCTGGACCTCAACCTAACTTACTTATTGAAATATATAGTTACAAAAAGAGGATAAGCACTTCAATAAGTATAATAGTTGCTTCAATAAGAACTTATTGAGATAGCATTACCCAGGATGACAAGAGTAATAGTTGCCTTTTTTTTTTTTATTCTTTTTGCTGCAAAAGTCTGAGTATTACAATATGCCTCCATTGCCACTATCTCATGCCTACAGATTCCTCAATCTTTCACCAAGCCTCAATTCAAATTCGGCCTAGTTTAGTCTCATCTAAATTGCACGAGATTTGTTTCCTTGATTGCAACAAAATCCTGACAAATGTCTTTGTTTCTCTTAGGCTGCTTTAATAGGCTGGCAAACTGCCTAATCTTGCCTTGCTAGTCAGATATATGAGCTACTACTTGGTAGTGTTAGTTTGCAAGGAAAAGTGTGAGAAAATGAAGAAAAGTTAGTTATTTTTTCTTTCATGCATGTTTGGTTGGCAGAAATGTTTTTTTTTTCTTTGCATTTTCTGCACTTTCTTGCAATTTGTGTCCTGAAGAATGTGTAAGATTTTGAAGAAAAAGATTGATTACTCACAAAGTTTAATAACTACTATTAATTGTCATTAACTTCCTATATTCTCTAAATATTTTCCTTAGTAACCAAATGTATATGGAACACTCATTTTCATTTTCCTTTACCTCAATTTCTTTCACTTCACTTTCCCAAACAACTTTCCTTCTATTCAATCGGGGGTAAGCTTCTTGAATATATATAAGGATGAGTACTCTTTCTTTATTCATCCAGAATCCTTGTAATTTACAGGATATATTAGTTGAAATAATTGTTTTTTTTTGTCAACTTTCTTGCAAATCTTGTGGTTTACCAGGCTAATAAATTGATGTATTTATGATTATGCATGGATATATAAGTATGTTTTAAATAAAATGAGCAGTACCTTCTTGAACCAAAAACATAAATATGATAAAGTACAGTGTGGTTTTAATTAATTTTTTGTTATGACTATTTGTTTCAAAAAATGTACATTGGTTGACTAATTAAGGGTCATGAACATTTTATTTTTTCCCTCTAAACTCTCACTTTATTATTAACTTTCATGGATATCAAACATTAAACTAAGAACAGTAATTTTTTTTTATCAAATTACACAAAATTTTATCTCGTTCGTTATAATATGAAAGAGAAATGAATATGTATGATTGGTTGATATGAATATAGTATCAGTAAGTATCCAAAAAAAAAAAGTACTAGTAATTTTAAAACTTTAGAGTGCCCGAAATGCAGGCGTGAATTAGAGGCATTGAAAAGGGATAATTTCGGAGACCTAACTTGAGATTTGTCATAATGTCACTCAACTCTTCTAAAATTTTAAAATTACATTTACTTCCTTTTCAACTTAACAAGACCAAATGCCCCTATCAAAGGTCACAAAATGACAATATTATCCTTGCTATTTTAATAGCTATTTAACCAAAAAGCCCAAACAAAAAAAGACTTTTTAAACCAAAAATTGTAGATTAAAAATAACTAAGTTGTTATCTAATATTGATCTATATTTCTTTGTATCGAGGTGGTGGTGAGATAGCAAAAGACGTGAATAAATTAAATCTAGTTAAAGTCAATTGCTTGGAAAGATTTTAGCAAGTAATTAACATCTTGAAAAATTTTGTTGAACATGTATAAAGAAGTCAAGGAATTTTTTTAGGAAATATCTTTTAATACATTATGTAATTTAAATTATATTGAAAATTCAAATAATCTCTTCATACGTGTGATTTTTTATTTTTAATTTAAATCCTACTTTATTGGAAAATTTTTTATAAATAAGTTAGAATTAGAAAATTAATCAAAAAATGATCTAATGATCCATTATATCTAGGAATATCCTATGTTTTTTCTTTTATTTTTTTTAAAAAAATCATTTGTTACCCTAGGTAATAGTTGTTGTATATTTGCAAAATTACTCATTATTGCATTTATAATGGCTTATATTTCATCTTTTTAATTTTTAATCTTATTTTATTTTTAATTGTTATTTTTTCAACTTCATAAGTAGGATAACATAAAGGTAGTATTGTAACAAAAAGTTAATCGCTCTTGCATTTCCTCCAAAGGAGCTAAAATGTTACAAAAAAATATCAATTCCGGGGAGGTAGGTAAGATTTTAAAAATTTGAGGCGTGCTAAGTGATATTATGGTAAATGTTAGAGGAGGCTTCTGAAACTCGATGTTTTAAAACTCGGATCGGATCGGCCGGTCCGATCGGTCGAATCGAGAACCAGTCAAGTGTTCGATCCAAGTTATGTTAAAAAACCGAGTAAGTAGAAATTCGGTCAAATTCAGTCAAAAACCAAGTTTGACTGGGAAAAAATCGGATTTTCCGATTCAATCAACCATTAAAAAAAAAATTCAAACATTTCGAGTTTTGCAATCTACTTTTGTGTCATCAAATGTTCCAGGAACAAGAAGAACTTTAACTTTGGCAGCGGTTTTAGCTCTGGACAGAGCAACATACAGCTGGCCATGAGAAAAAACTGGTTCCCGTAGATAGATGCCGACGTAGTCAAGAGTTTGGCCCTGCGATTTATTGATAGTTAAAGCGAAGCAAAGGCGGACAGGAAATTGTGTTCTTATGAATGGAATCCCATTCTTGTCATTGTCGGGCGTTTGAAGAGGTATCCTTGGAACGAAAACTCTTTTTCCTCGATGATGGCCAAAAACAATTTCAGCAGAAATTGTGTGCTGGCCAAGTTCCCTACATATTAACCTTGTGCCATTGCAAAGGCCTTCAGCTGGATTTAGATTTCTTAGAAGCATCAGTGGACAGTTTTCCTTCAACAGCAACTTATGAGGAGGAAGACCTTTAGGATTTTGAGAATTGAGGAAGTCTTCGTAGTCACCTTGGTGCCGCTGATCAACAGTCTTGTCGGAGCTAATATAAGTGTGAAGGCTTCCAGGAAATCTCCTAATCATTATTTCATTGAGTTCATCAACTGAGCTATTTTTAGGCGCAAGGATGCACCTATTTATTAGGTTATAAGGATCTTGCGAATAGGTGTTCAAATCTGGAAAGACACTTTCTAGTAACCTGCGTAAAAGAAGCTGCATTGATAATGGGAAGCAGGAGGAATAGTTGCTAAACAAAAACTAAATTTGATTGTATGTACCCATCTAACCTGTCTAAGGATTTCTCTTTATCGTAATAAGGAATAACTATATCTGATGATAAAGTTATTTCGCCCTCATCATCAATAGGTTCTCTTCCTTCTCCTACTCTTAGAAGGAATCGTGAAAATTCAGGATCAAACATAGCTCGCATATTTTGTACGAGTCGGATTTTATGCAGTTTAGGCCACAGAGGAGACATGGGAAAGGTCGACTGGACGAGAACTTGTTTAGTTGCTTGTTCAATCACAGGAAGAGTCTGTCGAAAATCTCCTCCAAAAACTATTACCTTTCCTCCAAAAGGTAAATCTGAGTCCATTAAATCCTTCAGCAATTCGTCGAAGGCTTCAATTGTGTCCCGTTTAGCCATTGAAGCCTCATCCCACAAAATAAGCTTAGATTCTGAAATGAGTTTTGCAGCAGAACTTTGTTTACTAAGCTGGCAACTCTTACCTTTCTGGAAATCAAGTGGTATCTTGAATCTTGAGTGAGCTGTCCTTCCACCAGGAAGGATTGATGCTGCAATTCCAGATGTTGCCACTGCAATTGCAATATGGTTCTGTGATCGTAAGGTCGCGAGAAGCGACCGATACAGGAACGTTTTACCGGTGCCGCCGGGGCCATCAACAAAAAAAGCCTGGCCTTCTAAGGAAAAACATGCTGCTAGGATTAGATCATAGGCATGTTTCTGCTCAGGATTTAGCATCTGAGGCAAAAGCAGATCCTCAGGTGTCACTGCTAAGCTTTTCTCACTTTCAATCTCCTTTGTTAATCGTTCAGTATAATTGCATGTAAAATCGTCAGAGACAAAGTGAAAATCAGTAATGTTTTTCCCCATTTGTTCAAGTGAACTGTTAATAGCTTGCAAAACTTTCTGTCTAATTTCAGCTGAAGAAAAGCCATGGAGTGGTTGCTGGTGATGATAGTCAGCAGAAAGGTCATGTTCAAATTTTTCCCAAAGCGATTTAGGATTTGTTGGAGAACAGTACACAAGGAGAGTGGCAAACAACAGCCTCAATGAAGATGGCATTTGAAATGCCATCGCTTCCTGAAGTGTCTCCTCTATATAAGCATCGGATTGTAGAAGGCCAAGAGCTAAAGCAGCTTCTCTAAAAGAACCTAATTTCTGTGCATTAACAGTCAAAAGGTCTTCAAAAGAGGTCGGGCCAGCAATGTGCGTTAATAGCAACCGCAAATAATATCTTTCTCCTTCCTTTGGACTAACAGTGACCATGCGACCAATCACCTTTCGACGCTTTCTTTCAGTCCACTCTTTATATTTATCAGACCAAACAAAATGCTCAGGAAAATTTCTGTACAAGCATTTCAGATTCTGTGCTCTAGGATTGGTTTTGTTCATGCGAAAAAACTGAGTTAACATAGTCTTTGAAAAGTCAATTTTACTCAGCAATTGCAGCAAGTCAGAGTTCTTGTCAAAGGAAATGAATTGCTGATCTGGAAGGTGAATCTGAAGGGTGTAAACTGCAGGGGTCATTTCGCTCAGCTTAAATTCATAAATGCGCCAAAAAGCTTCTGGAGGTGAAACCCATCTACCTTTCTGGAAGTCTTTTATTTCATCAATAGCATCCGCTGATGCACAGGAAATAATCTTAAAGCTCACTTGATCGTGTCCTTTGAAAACATACTTATACAAGTACTTCACGAGCTTAAGAGTAGAACAAATTTCGACATTGATGTGGCAATCAAATAAAGCAAGCAGGTAAGGGTTGTAAGGCACAACCCACCTATTATCAAGAGTAAATCTACGAACCTTCACTCTTTTGCCATTATCTCTTCTCCTATAACACGGATAGGTATCCTCACCATGAGTTGTCTGAGAACAAAAGCTCTTTGGATAGCGATTTTTGCAGGTCCCATCTCTCATACAAGGACAAGATGTATCCATGGCTCCGCAAGGACCATGGATCATATGTTTCACAACAAGAGAATACAAGTGAGGATATCTATCTTTGTCGGGCAACTCAGCACAAACAACTTTGTCGTATGACTCTGGATTAAGCAGCTTATGACCAAGTTTTAAGATCAATAATAAATGGGCATGAGGAAAGCCGCGTTTCTGAAACTCAATCACGTAAACACATGCTGAAACCTCGCCGAAGATCTGCTTATTCAGAATTTCTGCTTTAAGCATTTCAAACTTGGCTCTAAAAACTCTAGCGAGAAGGTCTGGCCGATCCTGAGGTTTTTCATGGTATTTCAAATTTTCCTGAATTTCTTTCCATGCTGGATTACACGTCATTGTAAGAAAAATGTCTGGTTTTCCATATTTCTGTACGAGTGCCATCGCATCTAGGTAACGACGCCTCATATCCCTCGGACCACCTATAAAGGAAGCTGGAAGAATGACCTTACGACCAACCTTAGAAGCAGCAGTGTGGCCAACAGAAACACTGTCAAGAACCCCTTGCAGAATTTCGGAACGTATATTGTTTTGCCGATGCCTATGAAAGTCAAGCCTACATGTTTCAATCTTGACATAAGCATCAACTGAAAACTACTGTAGCAGCCTAAGAGTGTGTAACAGCATTGACTCATCATCGTCCCTTATTTGGAACCTATAACAGTAGTACTCCCTAGCAGATACAGTACTTTCCTCTGTTTTTCCTTGGTCAGCAGCTATAAAGAAGGGAAAAGATGCTGTACATGGTTAAATAATGTAACGCAATGGGCAGGTTCAGCAGTTTATAAGAAGAGAGAAATGTGCTCGCCTCTTTGTTCTAAATCGATTAACTCCGATGAGGAGTTAACTGAAGTTGGATCAATGTTAATATCATTCTCACAAGCGTCCCCTCCTCTTTTCCTCTTGCAAAGCCTTTTAATCCCATGGTGCCAGCCACACTCACCACGAGGGAAAAGGAGAGGGTACTGTAAAGGGTCGTAACAGCCATAGTAATGTTGAATCCTATGGCTACCAGCCGAGCGAGAATAAACCTGAATATGAGCGCGCCTATCGGACGACTGATCTTCACTTTCAGTCCATATAGCTGCTACTTGCGAGGCTGAGGGAAGGTTATATACTCGCTGGTCAAGTGAAGGATAACAATTAAGGATAATGTTCAGGTTGTCAAGGTGTGGAACATCCCTAAGGCCTTTAAAGAACCGAGCATAAGGATTGTCAGAAAGTACGCGCATAAGCAGTCTTAAAGTGCTTTCGCGTAGTTTATCTGAGTTACCAAGCCTCTTTGTTAATTCCTCAGCAGTGTCAAAAAAATATAATTGGATTCCAGATGGTCGATCACCTAAGTGAACGAGACCATCAAGAAAGTGGTAAACCTGACCTTGAACACGGAAGGTATAGACACCTTTTGTGTTTTTTGTTAATTCAGAGTCATACTTTGCAGCAAAAGATGTGAAGCCAAGGTTGTTGTTATAAGTGCGAACAATGGTTCTAAAGTGAGCACTCTCTTCATCGTTGCCAATGAATAAGCGTTTCAAATCGTAAGGCATTGGAGGAGCAACGATAGAGATCTCTCCTCCTGAGCAGCAAAAGGAAGGAGGTTCCAAATGGAACCTTTTCGCTCCACAATGCTGACAATCAGGAACACGAGGCAGAACCAGAGATGCATTGGGAATATTGGCAAGACGAGACATGGTTGAATGTGCACGAGCTTGTTTTTTCGCTGCAGTTTTATTGCACGCACAAACGAGTTTATTAATTATGACTGGTGAGCTGGATAAATCAGGATGGAAGGCAACAAACGGTTAAAGAGGATCAGGAGCAAATCCAAACCTGAGCTGGGGTTGTTTACAGATGCAGGGGCGGTGCGTTTTTTGTAACGGGAGCGAACAATAGATGGATCAGAAGAAGGAGCTACTTTTCTGGTTTTTTTCTTCAAGTGACCAGATGTTGGCTCACACCTGGACACCTCCTCTGTGTGAGCAGGAAAGTTGGCTGCGAATTGCACAAGCGAATAAGGTAGGCAAAAGAGTGCCAATTCCCTTAAAGGAACACCGGCAAACAAAGGAAGAAGGCTTCCGGAAGGCCAGGATATAAAGTTGGTTATTCAATATTTACAGTCTGGCCGAAACAGACCAGGAGGTTTGCAAACACAGCGTATATCGTAAGGCAAGACAGTACCTTCGCAAGGTTGTTCTAAAGGAGAATCTGGGATTCCAGCAGGGAAAGAATGACTCGCAGGAGCATTTTCTTTTGGAATCGACTGTTCAGAGTTCTTAAGAGATGAATTCAAAGGAAATAAGCCTAGCATAACTTCAGGATGTGAAAGGTTAACAGGTTGTTCATTTTCAGGCGGAAGGGAGAATACGTGCTTATGTTTCTCTCTACCTGGGTCATCACTGAGTTGTGGTCCAAAGGAGGGGATAGGATGACCAGTAAATGAACCAGGGGACTGACACGACATGAAATCTAATCCCTCTCTAATCGCAAAGTCATCATCAGCTGGAAACACAACATGTGTATTCCCCAACGGCTGAGAATGAGCAGCCGTAGGATCCTCACTACGACATGGCATATGATGAGCATTTGGGAATGACACACCAGTTTCAACATATCCTAATGGGACCCTGCGAACACGAGGAGCTGGAGCTTTTCCAGCTTTCTTGGAGGCCCGAGCCTGCCTTCGAGAGCGCAGAAGCTCTGCTTTCTTCAGAGGCGGCATTTCTGCATATTTTTTGCGGCGCACAGCATTCCTATCCATCTGATTGGTGCACACTTGAGTAGGCGAAAAGAAAGCCAAACGTACGCGTCTAATACACGACTACAGCGGTAACTAAATAAGTAAGAAGTAGGGCAAAGCTCTACCAAGATTGACGCATAAAAACAGAGGAAGAAAAGCTAAAGTGCAGCTCTCACACAGGAGAACGAAACTCAGCAGACATAAAAAAAGAAAGATAAGTGCAGTCCTTATACAGAACCATGGAATCCAGTAAGTATAATTATTTAAAAGGAAAAGAGCGAAGCAAAGTTAAAGCACAGGCCTCAGACAGGAGCATGGAACAGAGCACACAAGGAAAAGCAGATAAAAGTTCGAGCCAAGCTGGTAACATTTAAAAGTGAAGCAATAAAACCACGGGGCAAATGATTATTGGACAGGAGCAAGGTAAAAGCACATACGGAAGGGAGGATAAGTAATGTCACCTTAACCTTAAGCCTCTATCAGCCAACAGCAAAGCAAAGCAACAAAGAAGAGGACAGAACCTGCTTCAGCACCTAACAAACCAACAAGAGGAAAAAAGGGTAAGAAGATACAATTCCAAAGAGTAAAATGCGGTAGAACAAGCATTTCTTGCAGGCAATTCTGAAAGCTCTTAATAAGTTGGGTGGCAGGTTTATTTTTTGCAAGCATTTTTTAAGGGGGGGGAAGATAACCTCTTAATAAGTATCTCTGAAACAGTTATCCTTACAAGCATTCCTCACAAAATAGTTCCCTCCTGTAAGAGAGGGAGGGGTACACTCCAGAATGGTGTCTGAAAATATATAGGGTATAATATAAGGAATGCTTACTAAGAACTCCAAAAAAGGTAGAAGGCGGGGAAGGATAATTTGTAGGCAGTAAGAGTAGTAGGACAAAATGTGAAGAAAGCACAGCAATGCAAGAATTGTTCATAGGGGGGACACGGGAAAAGCAGGGGAAAAGGATCCGGCAAGGAAAATAACAAATTTAAATAGGATAAATGAGGGAAAAGGGAAGAAGCAAAATGAGATGAAAAGCAAACCAAAAAGGCAATTAAACAGTAACAACTGAAGAGAGAATAAAATTTAGCCGCTAAAAAAAACAAATAACCACAACAGTGCACACAACGGTCTCAGAAGGAGCTAAAATCAAACAATAACAACAGAATTAAACCTTATGCAAGAAGGCAGCAAGACAGTAGCTCTCAGAAAGGCTGGGAAAAGTGGGGGAAAGAAAGAAGACAATAGTTGAGAATGAAGAAGCAAGCAGCTGAAGGGCAAGGAAAAGGGAGCAATGGAAATGAGGCACAATTACCACGGTGCATGATGACGAAAGCTGGAAAAGGCGAAATTTGGAGGTTAGAAACCCCTGCATACATCGGACTAACAAAGAGCTTCCAGTCTTGTCAATCATCATCATCATCATCAAAGAAGAAAAGAGGGAAATGTGCTTTTTCGGCAGCCCTATAGAGCAGAGCTGTAGTTTCTTTTCTCACCAAAGCGCAAAGAGAAGGAAGAAACTTAGTCAGATGCAACGGTGAATCTGATTTTAAAAGAAGGGCAGTATCGTCAAAGCACACCAACCACATTGAGCCCATCACCAAACAGCTATCATCATCAATCAAACCATCACCAGCCGCCAATCTCACTAAGCTGGCAACGTTTATCGTCAAAACCGGAGGTCCTTCTGCTTCTCTCTCGGACAAAAGCAAGACAAGAAGAATTGCACTTCCCAGCAAGAGCACACAAGCCCCACGCGATTGACGGCCAAATCTCAGCCAAAAAACTGAAGGTCCTTCTTCTTCTCTCTCGGACAAACAAAAGCAAGAGAAGAAGAATTACATTTCCCAAGATGACTCAGCTGGCAATCTGCCGACCAGAGAAAAGAAAAGAAAAAAAAGAAATGATGGCCATGCTACAGAGAAATGTTTCTTCTTAAAAACCGAAGGTCCAGCTTTCTTCTCGTCGGACAACAGCAAGAATGGCACTTCTCCTTCCAGCGAAAGCACGCGAGTTCCACGTGATTGACGACCAAATTTCAGCCAATAAAAACGAGCCACGTCAGCACAAAACCACCACACTTGACAACCTCATTCGCGCTTTTACTATATAGGTAGACAAGAGCACTGCTGTAGCCTGTAAATGGCCCCACACTAAAGGCGTTGCCTGGGAGGCGCAGCAATACCACGCCTTCAAGCAACAGCTGCTAAGTCTCCGACTTAAAATTGGAGCTCAAGTCCTCAATTATAGCCCCAAATCAAATGGGGGATTTGGGTTCATTTTTTCAAACCCTAAGTCCTAATTTCTAAAACCCTAAAAATCCCTTCAATTTTTATTCGCCAAAAATAGAAGAAAAAAATGGAAAGAATATACGAAAACCTTGCAGGGTAAGTTCCATGCTGTTGAATCCTTTTTGTATTTGGGTTCTGTTTAAATTTCATTTTCATATTGTTCAGTGTTAAGGCATTTTCTTTGTTTTTATTGTTTGGGATTGTTTTAATCGCCAATTAAGAACAGCTTGTATGAGTTTTAGTTATGAGAATTTATGGTTCAAATTTCGTTGCATTTTCTACAATTCAAGGTCGATTCTTGTCAATTGTCTTAAATGCTGATGAATCGTTATTATTGAAGCCACGTGAATTACTTATCAGATTTAGCAACAAAAAAAAAAAAAAAAAAAAAAAAAAAATATATATATATATATATCATCGAAGGTAGTTTTTGGGTTGGGAAGATTTTTTTTTTTTTTGGATTTTTTTTCCTCAAATGTCCCAGTTGTTATTTCGTTGAATGAAATATTTGAGTTGAGAAAATCAATTTGAACTTCTTCCTCTTAATGACAGACATTTCGTCCTAAACTTGAACTCGGATTTTTTTCAGTTTTCTTGTGGTTTTTAGCTGATTGATATCCGAAATGTTTTGGGTGAAATGCAGATAGTTCTCTTGGCTGTAGGCATTCCCTACTTCTCATCCACATAAGCATGTGACTTTTTAGGCACAAATTGATTTTATTTTCAAATTTCGCACCAGCTGTTACTGGAAAACTTACTTGTATAGTGAATCTGATTCTTGAGACCTTTTTTGTCTTTTGTGTCTCTCTTCACTCAGTTAAGTTTTGTTCTATAGAGGTTTTCTTGAATCCCATATGGTTGAGATGTAGACCAAGGAGATGACTGAACATGTGATTTGATCGTGTTGAATGCTGTAGTTCAACTCTAAGGTTTCAGTCAGATTACTGATGAATGCAAAGATTTGAATTATGTGTCTTGTCTTGCGATTCAGGATCACTGATGATCTATAATATTCTTTCCACTTGATACTGGTTATGCATATTTCATTTGGCATACTTCTTCTTTTCATATTCTGCTTTAGCTGTGATTGCTATCAGTTTTGGTTCTCTGCATGATAGGCATATTGTCCTAAACTTGATGTTGGTTTTGTTAGTTGCCCTGTGTTTTTGGAGTCCTCCAGTAGCTGATTCCTCTGTAAATTTTTCAGGGTGACAATTCTGTTGTTCTCTTTGTTGTAGGCATAATTAATCTTGTAATCTTGAACACAAGACAGCTAAAAGAATGGGTGTAAAGGAGGACATATGATACAGCTACACTTGTTCAGTGAATGTGATTCTTGGTGGTAACCTCTTTATCGTCGCATGTCTTTGACTTAGTTAAGTGAGGCTCTCTCAGAGGTTTCTTGAATTGTTTGTGGTTGAGGTGCAGAGAGGGGACATGACGACACATATTTTTTTTACCCTTTCTGGTTGAATGGTCTAGTTCGATTGTTATCATACTTTATTAATTTGTTTTCTGTCAAATTGCTTGGCAATGCAAAGACATGAAATCTGTGTCGTTTCTTGTTATTAGTTCTAATGGTGTTATTTTCTTCTTGTTTGTTATATACATGTGTTGTAATCTGGTTGATTCGTGAGTACTTCAACTTTTGCATATTACATACTGATTAATGTCTTAATATTGGTTATAATGTTCCTTTTACTTGGTACTGCTTGTGCCTGCTTTATTTGGTATTCTTCTTCCCTTTCCAATCTTCTGTTTTGGCTGTGATTGCTATCACTTGGAGGCGCCATTTGCTCTTTTTTTTTCACTTTTCTTTTGGGGTGGGGGGTGGGGGGGAGTTCGGACCTATTGGTCCTCTTTTGCTGTTTGTTCTTCTATTTGGTGTACACACTTCTAGAAAGTATTCACGTAACCCTCATTTATGCTTCTGGATATGCATTACTGCATCAATGTGCTATGCCTCTATTAAGGGTTAGATTATTAATTTCTTTTATTAGTCTATGCTGCTTGACTCATACCACTTACCATGGATCCATTGTTCCTTAGTTTTTGTTTTTGGCCTAGTATGTTGCCATGGTAGCCCTGTTGAAGCATAACTGTCTCAAATATATATAGTTTTTATTTTAAGCTTTAACACAATTGCAGAATGAGTTGATTTCTAAATTCTTGCTCTGTGACGATATTTAGTACTTCTATGTTATATTCTACTGTCGTTATCATGTACATTGTTTAGCATAATGACTTACTTCTAACCTTTTCATGTCTTGGGGTTTTGCTTGTTCTCTTCCTCACAGGAATCCAATGGCTGATCCCTTTCACTGCTAGCACTTGAAAAACTTCTGTTACTCCCCAAAACATGCAAGTTGTTCACAAACTCGGCCAGAAATCACTTATATTAACACCAATTGTTTGCAACACTACTCGTTATGTCAGCACCCAAAACTTAGTTACAGATTCACCCAGCTCTGCCAACTATGACTACCTCATCAACAAGGCAGGACGTGACCGAGACTTTGGTACTGTGCAACATCTCCTAATGAAGCGCACCAGGGATGGTTGCTTCTATACCAACAACACTTTCAAGTTCATATCCACAGACCTCTCTGTGCTTGATGACCTGTTAAAAATTCTTGCTGGTCTCAGCCATGGGTTCCCCAAGAAGAGTGCACATGACTGCCTCGTTAACCAACTCTCAAAGTTGCATCGCACAACCAAAGCACTGCACGTGGCAGAGATTATGGTACAGAACAAGTATGGTGCAAATGCCTGTACATTTCATCCCATACTGAATGAACTGACCAAGAAAAAGAATATGGATGAAGCATGGCGTGTGATGCAGGTGATGAGAGAGTATGGAATTAAGCCTGATCTGACTGCTTATAATTATTTGCTGACTGCTCATTGTTATGGTGGGGATCTGACTTCAGCTGCTTACCTGCTGACAAAAATGGAGGAGGATAAAATGGGAGCAGATAGTAGAACTTATGATGCACTTGTATTGGGAGCATGTAGAGCTGGGAGAATAGATGGGGCTTTGATGGTGTTGAGGAGGATGCTGGATTATGGAGTGCCAGCATTATACAGCACGCATGCTCACGTTATCAATGCAATGCTTAGGAATGGCTGTTATGCAGAGACAGTGGAGTTTGTAATGAGCTATGCTGGCAAAGATCAAGGGTTGGATTATGAGAATTTTGGAATTCTGGCTAGCCGTTTGATTAAGTTGGATAGATTGGACGAGGCTAAGTTTGTTCTGAAGGAGATGAAGAGAAGGGGTATAAATTTGGGGGAGAAATTGAAGGATTTTTGTCTTTGCTGTAACTAGAATAGCAATACAAAGTTCTTTTATAGTTGCACTGGAAATCAAATAGAGCATCATGAAGGCACCTTTGATCCTCAAGCAGTCACAACAATTTTTTTTTTTTTTATGCCTGTTTTGCACTACTTGTGAAGTGCAATATTGTTATTACAGGACTAGCATAGGATCTCATACACAAAGTCTGCTTATAAAGTGGACATAGGAGCTCATTCTCAATCTCAGGGATAGGGAAAAATGAAGCAGTCTTGAGCATTAGGTTGGGTATCACAATACCCTCAAATTGTGTACGCGAATGTGGAAATCATATTTGTAACACCATGGTAGATAATTTCCTCGTAGATGTTCAAATCTTTTTCTATTATAAGTAACAACATTTATGGCCTTTTAATTAAAAAAAAAAAAAGGTCATGTACATATTTCATTTCTAAAATACATATGGCTGACCTTTCGTTTATTTCAAGAATTGTGCAGGAGTGCTTATTTGCTTAAATTCAGCAATGATCTTTGCCTACTTGGAGCATTTGACAAGTACAATTACTCTAGCTAGAGAGTTAAACAAACAAAAAATATCATAAGATTCAAAGTAAATCTGAAACCACCATTGAAAAAGCAAAGAATGAGAAAACTTGCTATAAACCTCCAAAGTGCCTGGTGTCGGGTATAGGGTACAAAAAAAAAAAAAATTAAATTATGTTTTGAAGAATTTTTTTAAGGAAAAATCGTTCAAAACATTCATTATCTTTCATTTCATCAAATGAATTTTTTGTATCTTTCACTTTTAAAATAGTAATTTTACTTCCCTTACAAAATTAAGTTGGTAAAATTTGATCACAATTTAAATTTTCAACTAAAACATTCCTTATATTTCATTTCATCAAATGAATTTTTTGTATCTTTCACTTTTAAAATAGTAATTTTACTTCCCTTACAAAATTAAGTTGGTAAAATTTGATCACAATTTAAATTTTCAACTACTTTTTTACCCCTCATATAACCCACACATGATCATTTTTTTGGGGCAAAAAAGTTAGATTCCATTTATAGTTAAATAAATGACATTATATATATATATATATATATATATTCATTTTTATCCCTAAAAAAAATAGAATTTGATTGACATCATATTCATTTTTTCCCTAAAAAAGTGGGATCTTTCCCAATTTATATTTAATTTTGCGCTAAACAAGTAGAGTGCAACTTTTTGTATATAAAAAAATGACTATATGTGAGTTATATAGTGATTTCAGGTTAAAATGTGTTTGGACAGGAGATTATTTGCCCAAATATATTTGCTTACATCACCGTTACAATTTCCAATACACCTTTTTATTTTCCCAATTACCTTTTTATCTCACATATATCACATCACAAAAAGTGCTACAGTAAAAATATCTCAAATAATTTACAATCCAAACACATATATGGTCAAAAAATTACGTTAGAATCAAAATTTACTCACTTGAATTTATAAAGGACGTAAAATTAACATTTCAAAGGTGAATAATAAAAAAAATTATTTAACGAGATGTAAGAAATATTTTAAACAATTCTCTCTCCCTCTCTTTCTCTCTCTCTTTAAATTAGTTATTTAACTTCAAACAAAATAACTCTTTACTAAAAGATAGTTTGTAACAAACTCTGTTTAATTTGATGCAAATCATTACTTCACCCCAAAAAAATAAGATTTGGAAAATGGTAAACCTTTTAAACTATTCATTTGGTGGAGTAAACTTTTAAATTATGTTTATAGAATAAAATGAAATAAATGTAAATATTGAATTAATTTTTTTAATTTCTTTTAATTCTTCTACGAAAAATTTTTTTTGCAGTCTCTCGAGTGTTTCCACACGAGATGATGTGCAAAATCTTTTTTTTTTTTTGACACCATTTAGTAATAATTGGGAAGTCAAGATTGTAATCAAATTTAAAAAGGATTCTTATGCCTAGAGTTGAATCACCCATTTTTTTCCCCTTGATAAAACAAAGTCCAAAACAAAAAACCAAAAAAAAAAGGGATTTTCTTAGTTGGAAAATTAAAAAGAGAAAAAAAAAACAATTCCAGACACATATAATTAAGTAAATAATAATAAAAAAAATTTTCCAGACCATTAATCACAGGGCACAGCTCTCTCTCTCTCTCTATCTCTCTCTATCTTTTGGAATTTCGGTTCGTAGAAAATGGCGGCGACGCCTTCAAGAGGCGAGGTGCTTTCGCTTTTCCGGTCACTGTTACGGACGGCGCGTGGCTTTTCCGACTACAACATCCGAGAGTACACCAAGCGCCGAACCGTCGACGGTTTTCGCCACAACAAGGACATCTCCGACCCATCGTCAATCTGCGCGGCCTTCGCCGACGGCAAGTCCCAGCTAGAAGTCGCCAAAAGACAGGCCGTAGTCTATTCCCTCTACGCCCCTAAACTTAAAAGCATCATGGAACTCAACCACTCTGCTTTACCAGAAAAATTGCCTCAAATTTTGTCATAGTAAGTCCAGAATTGTTCAGCTTTTTCTTTTCTTTATTTTATGACAGTTTTAAGTTTTCGTTGAATAATTTGAATTGGGTCTTCGGTTTAGTGTTCCATTAATTCGGAATTTTGTGTTCTTCCTTTCCCCCTTTTTTGTTGGGGAAATGAAGAAACTTGATAATAGTTTAGGGATTAAGTTTGCTTTGTAGTTGTTGATTAAGGATTAATTTCTGGTGAATTGCGGATTTGAGTACGTTTTGATAGGTATTTTTCAAGTCAGATATACACCTTGGGAGTTGGGACAATATATTGTTTCAGGCTTGCATTTAGTTCAGCAATATACATGTTTTTGAATAAGCATTAAGCCGATCAAAGTTGTTTTTAGATTTAGTTTTGAGCAAAATCATTGCTGTGTTCTTATGTTAAGTGATCGACAAAATGGGGAAATTGTTTCCTTCTGTTGTGTTCTATATTAGCTAGTTATGAGCTGTTATTATTTGGAGAAAAGTATTCTGGTTTTGTCCTACGACATAGATGTACATTGGCTTAGTAATAGAATTGTGGGCTAGTGTGTTAAGTTCATTATTTATCCATTTTAGTAAGGGCTGTTACACTATTTCTCCAACCAATCTGCTAAAAAGGTAAATATTTTGCATTTTGTCTAGTTTTTGATGATTATAAACCCTAGTAAAATGTGAAATAGTGATTTTCACTTGTAGCGGCTAGATTACCTAGTCATAGTCTTTACATATTTTACCACCTCTTGCTTGAGGAAGAGCAGGACGAATTCTGTGTAAGGAAGTTCTCTTGTAGGACTTGCATGATTTGGCAAATCTCATTTTTCTGAAATGTCTTTCTTTCTTTATTGTTCATTTTTCTTTTCTTTTTTGAACAGAATGGCCATCTTTGTTCACTAGAGTTTTGTTGTATAGTGAATTAACTAGCTCCTGAGAGTAGTCAAATTTACAGTGTACTTCATGATGAAGAATTTGTTGCAACTATCTACCATACTTGGTCAGTTAAAACACTAATTGCAAACTAGTGATGTACAAAGACTTTGATGCAGGAAAAGTTAAAAAGAAAGAATAGAGCTAGCTGTAGAAAAAGCGGTTGCTAAGAGCTAGAATGTGTTAATGGTATTCTGTTCTCTTCATTTTCCTTTTTGCTTTTAATTTTTTAAGGCAAATATCTTTGTTTGCTAATGTATTGGTGACCTTTAGATTTTCTTCATGTTAGATTTGGCTCGTGGCATGCTTTTGCTATCTGTATTGTGGCATCTAAGAACTTTCTTATTGAAGAAGAATAGAGGACGAATGTCTAGGTAATTGCAGTATAGAAGATTTTGATCCTAATGGGATGTCAAATGGCTAGGTTGACGGAGGGACCTCTACCGAGGGAGAGGGGAGCGCAGTAGAAGAGCTTGAGGTCAGGGTTTGTATTGCATGCTGTTCTGTCATTTGTGAAATGTTCTTCAGGTTAGCTTTTAGAAAAGTAGGGTGGAATTTGTATTAAGAAGATGCAGATCAAAGAGCTAGTGCTGTACAGTAAATCACAGACACATTTGATGGTTAGTGCAGTTTTGCCTAATCCACTTGAGTGTTACATCTTTATGTTGTCTTGTGGCAATGCTAATTGGACATAATAAAGGTGATTGATGACCTCAGAGCTACTTTAGGAAGACCTCTAAAGGCTGTTAAGCTTGAGATATAGTAGTAATTGACCTAACTAAATTTGAACCGGTCATTTGAGGTAGTAGTAGATCCAGCTTTAGTTGTTGGTGTCTAGACAAGGGCATGTAACCTTCAACCATTTTGATGCAAAGGTTTCAAAGCTTTTTGGTTGAGTTTTAGAAGTCAGAATTTGGATGTCATTGTTTTATAAATTTTAGGAATAACATATCGCAACTTTGGCCATCAAGATGCCTGAACCACTCTCTTTACCTGTTACTTTTAATTTTTTTTTCTTTTTCTTCTCCGTCTTCCTCCTTTCTTCATGCAGAAACACAACTCCCTTTATAATAGTTGCAATGACCACACGTCACATGGCCTGCTCTCCCTCTCTCTCCCCCACGCCCACCCCCTCCCCCCCCCCCCCCCCCCCCAAAAAAAAAAACCAAAAAAAAAAAAGGCACAGATGTGCCTCTATCTCTTCTCAATCCCTATAACCAATCATCTGTCACTTCGTCGCTCTTCGCCCTCCTACGCTGGTGAGCCCCTCAAGCCTAGATTTTACTGAGAATCTCAAATTTCTTTGGCTTGTTAAATTTCTGAGTCTGTTACGTGTTCTTTTTCTTTTTTGTTAATGGAGCGGCATGATCCTATGTTGATTGACGGCCATTGGGTGCATGGACCACTCTGCAAGGCCCAATCTCTAGGTAGCCCAACATGCGCTTTGCCGGTGGCTGCAAGAAGTTTTAGTGTGAATAGAATCTTAGACCTCATGCGCCTGTTGAGATTAGTCTGCTATGTGCACCAATTAGTTGTGATCGTGGCAATTGGTTCCTCTATTTGTGTCTGTGCTTGATTTAATTTAGAAAAGGGGAAGGGGGAGGCAGTGGTTGTGGGTAATCCAATTGCTTGGTTGGGTGTTTCATCATATAAAAGCATGCAGCTGAAAGATTGAGCTGCAATAATTAAAAGAGTAAGGAACTCCTATCTTTTAATGTTCATTGATGATCCTTCCTTTTAATCCTGTTTCACATTCTCTCGTACATCAAATTGTTGAAACAAGCTGATTTCGATAGTTTATCCCCATGACAGTGCTAGTTGAACTTACTGATGCCAACAACGATCTTCATCTTTGTTCACTGATGCAGATCCGATACTTCACCTGTTTCATCTGGATTTTTCGCTTATTGATTTTGAATTTGTAATATTCTGAGTGGCTTCTTCCTAGTATTAAATGAGGTTTCAGCCCTAATTCTTGCTTCTTGTAAAAGAAAACAATGAATAAGAAGAGAGGAACAATGGGAAAATGAAGAAGGAAGATCATGTCGCAAAGGGTGTGTTTTTCATTTATGTTTTTTGAGTTTTTAATGTTCACCCTCAATTCTAACAGAAGTAACGGTTCCTTTAACTCCAAATTTACAAGTGAGGGGGAGGATTGGGTGTGATATGGTAGTTCTGCAAGGGGCTGAAAGATCCATTGGCCTACTTGTTTGATGGATTTTGTAGTTTCTTTCCCTTTGTTTATTATTTGTGCTTGGTGAATACTGTATTAACCTGCCTTTGAAATGATGTTGCAGGATTCTTGTGACGAAGAAGCCAATGAAAGAAGGAAAAATGGAAATTATTGAAGATATGTGTATCTGAGTACACACTTGATGTATTCCACCATTTTTTTCTTCTGTTTTATGGTCCTAGAAGAAGAACAAGAGCTCGTTCGCTCTAGTAGATAAACAGAATAAGACATTTAGCATCTGTTGTATCATCCAAAGATGCCTTCGATTGTCTTCCCGGGTGTAGTGCGGGCTTTTTAGCTCTGTTAAGGTTGATCTGGTACTTTGGCAGGTACTACCCACTTATTCTGCAGTTCAATTGTGGCGTCACTGTTACTAATGAGTTGATCATTATCACACACTTCAAATTTTTGGAAGGAAAAAACGACACTAATCGTCCGTCACATTACTTGACATTTATCGATGTTAACTTTTAATCCTTCATATACAAAATAAAATATTTTAGTTCCTCACAAATTCAAAATGGACCTGTTTTCTATCAGTAAATGTAATTTTAGCCATATTTTCTTTGGAAATAATCACGTCCAGACAAAATTTCAGAAATTCAAGGAGCAAATTTAAAAATTGATCACATTTTTTCTTTCTCTTTCTCTATATTAGTCTACAACTCCTTCCAACTATTCTACAACTAATTTTTTTCTTCATAAAATGACAGAAATACTCAAGAAGTTTAAAAAAACCTGTATAGTTCAAAAATTTGTCAAACAAAACCTAATGGAAAAAAAAAAACTAACCCTGATCACAAAAAATCTCATGGAATTTATAATGTGCCTATGAATTTTCTTGACCTAAACAAACCCATTTTGGAGAGATACAATTTAGTGATCAAAAATTCAAAATGGATAGAAATGACAAGTTTGGGAAATGGAAAACTCCCCACATTTACAAATCTTTTTCATCTTTTCTCATTTTCTACCCAAAATCTTCTTTTCTTATCTTCTTCCCCAAAATCTCAAAAGGAAGAGGAGGAGGAGAGGTTTTGGGGAAGGGTTGGTGGCAGTAGAGAGGGGAAAGGGAGGGTACAATGGTGGAGGAAGTTGGAGAAAAGGGATCGAAGAGAAGTGTAGGCTTGATTGAGGAAGTGAAATTAGTGGTTGCGGGGTTTCTGAATCGAGGAAATTGGAAGAAATTCTATAGGATCCTTTAGTATTCTTTTCTTTTTTCTTTTTATCAAACTGAAAATTGATATTTGCATAGTTACTTGTGCAAACATGGATTAAAATTATACAGCCGTTTAGATTTAGAACAGGTGATGCGTCCGTGACTTTTTGTATTGAAAATATGGTTGTATATGTGTTCAATGACCCACAAAAAATGTAACTTTTGAATTGGTAAAGGACTAAAATGCTTCATTTTGTTTGTTAGGGATAAAATTTAACATTAATTAAATACGAGGAACTATTGGTGTTGTTTTCCTTTTTGGAACAGTGAAAGTGCTTTGCTAGGAGGTAAACATTACGCACTGAATTTGGAATTTGACCTCAGAGAAATTGTTAACAAACAAGCAAAATATAACGGGTGTGAGAAATTTATATTGGATCAGCACAGAAAAGAAACATGTCCTGGTTCATTCGCAGCAGGTTAAGAGATTCAGGAACGATCAATCAATTTTTTTTGCTTTATCTGTTACAGGTTGCAAAGGGAAATGCATGGTATTAGACAGAATTCAATGAATGGGTAGAAGTGCAGGTATAATTTGCAAATGGTCCAAAAGTGTGGATTAAAATGGACAGTTCAGGCTTCATGCCAATGTTGACTGCATGTCCTGTGGGCTCTGTTTCCTACTTTCCCAGCAACCGGCGACCGCGCTGAGCGGCACCCTTGACTCTGAAGTTAAGCTCCTCCACATCAGTCTCAAGATGTTCCAAGCCCTTGTTCTGCCTGCAATGTTCAAGATAGAGAATGGAAAATCAAAAGATGATTAGAGACTGCATTAGCGAGTAGGCAGCATATTAGCAACTAAGAAAGAGAGAGAGAGAGTGTGTGTGTGTAACCTTTCAAGCTCTGATCCCATGTCAACAGCCATTTCCTTTAGTTCCCCTAAGATATTACTCAAGTCTGACAGCGCATCATCCTGCTTGACCTTTTCTACCTGAGATATACAACATGCGAAATCAGTTCAATATTGTAACATAGCTCCTTTCCAAAATGTATGGCAGTCATCAATTAGATAAATGAAAAAAAAAAAGAAAAAAAGAAACAGGCAATCTATATCATACAATTGAATTAACACAGGGCAATTGAAATCAAATCATACAAATCAACCACCAAAAGACAGGTGCTTTAAGGAGTAAGACGGTGAACAGAGAATGCTCGTGAACTTATTACTTGAGAGAGAATCCAAGAGTGCAAGCGTTTGAATAAAAACAATATCAACCATCAAAGTGCTAGAGTAATAAATATCAACACATACAACATAAACTTTATCTAAATCTCTCATCACACTATATATGTGCTGGCAGTGTGAATCAAATCATAAATGCAGAAGCAAATTTACCAAGAAAAGACCCTTATAAGCAAACAAGTATGGCAGCACTGTGACCTATACCAGACCTTGCAGTCACTGACAAGAAGAAAAGACCATCTTTTAATCCTGTCATTATCATAAACAACTAACTAGTTTTTTAACTTAGATCACAGCTCTAAAGATGTGGCGCAAATAACAATAACGAATTTTCTGTGCAAACTACTATTGCTACTTCCTGTGGCTCAGCATTTGTGGTCATTCAATCAAACATTTCTTGAACACTGATTCTTTGAAAATCAACCTCTAGTTTGGCACTCATTTAATGGTATCCTCGATCAGGTAGTAGCATACCTCAACTTTCTGCAATGCAGTTGTTGGTTCAGCAGGTGGAGCTCGTGAATTTGACCTTCCTTGCGGTGCTGAAGTCAATCCTAATTTCTCCCTCTGCTCTAGATGGCTACCCTTTCTATAAACTGGATCATCTGCAAAATAAACAGAAAATTAATATAACAGACATGTTCAACCACCTGACCTCACCTCCAACTCTGTTTATCAATTTACTTACAAAAGCCATCATCTTCCCTTCAACAATTAAGTTTTTGAGCATGCAAAATGAAAATGAGACAATGATGAAAAAGAAAACATAGGATAATTAACCTCTTGTTATTATGGGCCCTGTTATCGGACGAGTCTTTTTAGGCTTCCAAGTCTTTGAAAACATGCCTCCTAGACTTCCCAAAAGCTTTTCACCCTGAGATTGTACATCAAACAACTTCAGCCTCTAGGATAATCATGCATATACACAAGGATATGGAACCACGGGACAAAAACAGGCAATAAAAACAAAAAATGGAAACCAAATGAGGAGATAAGCATGACTTAGGGGCCAATAAAATGGACACAGGGATTCCACAGCAAATGATCAACACAAATCTCAACTATGCTTGCAGTGTTCTATAGTTTTTCCTAGCTGATAAATTCCTACTCACACATATTTGCAATTGGAAAAGAGTATTGCGTGCAAATACTGGAAATGGAAGATTTGCAGCATCATGTTAAAAAAGACAAGGCAATCTAACATAATGGATTAAGTTGGAAACCTTCTACAAAATAAACAGGATGTTCATAAAATCCCCTATATTCCTTGAGAATTAGAACTCGAAGGAATAATTTACAAGACAAAAGGAATGTTACTTGGCATTGAACAAGATTGCATCAAACTTAAAGTGGATAAAAAAGGTAATATGTCAAAAAAAGTTTAGGCATGCTTCCAACTTAAGTCCATAAGACCGAAACTTTCCATTGAAAATAGCAGCTTCATATGTATTATGCAACAAGCAAAAAAATAAATAACAATAATAATAAAAAAATAAATAATAAAAATAGTGAAACACTCGGTGGAATTCAATGCAATAGGAGAGCAACATCCCACCATAAAGCAAAGGGCATGGTAAAAGAACAATAAAAATGCTGATAAATTATGTTTAAATCAACATTACAATAAAATCTATCTTGAAACAGTGCCTAAATAAAGTGTGATAAATATTCCATGACAAGTCTCAGTTCTTCTGCATACTTAGGTTTAAACATCTAATAGAAATTGTCCTTCAGAATAGCACTCATTGCATCTAGTTCATTACATCAAATGGTGATGAGTGAAAGATCAAATGACAAAATTGTAATCTATCCATCAATTAGCAAAGCATAGAAATAGTCTTAGCACTCGAAAGGCTAGTTATATGTTATTGCACCATTCTTCGTAGTTAAAGGTAATGATATTTATTTAACTATTGCAATCATGAGAAAAAATGTAAAATTTCCACTGGTCTCTCCTATATACCTAATCTTAAAAGGGGGAAAGGAAGACAAAAAGAAGGCCAATCTAAAATATTAGCTGAAAAAAGAAGGAAAACTTACACGTAATGCAGTGGAATCCCTATCTACACCAAGACTTGGAACAAAGTCAAAAGTAAACCCTAATTAATCAACTTCAAGACATTGCACTGATAAGCCATCGGTAACAAAATGCTTATGAACAATGAATTACTAATTAGTGGTCCTAATCTACTGACACCATTCTTCAATAAAGTCAGCCACTTCTTTCTTAATCTAGCATTCTCATCAATTCCCTAAAGGGAATGCGAGAGGGAAAGGTTCAGATTTCTGATCTCCATATACATAATCAGAGCTTAAACATTTGAAATCAATCAGCCAGGAAGAGTCATGAAGGTGGCCAACAGGATGCATAAACAAAACTTTCTTCTAAAATCAGACAAATAAACCGCGAAGCTTGGGGTTAGAATTAGTTAATTCAGTAAACCATACCCTGCTAAGATCATGGTCAATGTCTGCAGCAGCATGATGCGTCCTTGTTATTTGTTCACCCTGATGATGCAAGGTCACCAATGTTTTAGTAGCATCCTCTCTCATTTCCTCAGCAATCTTCAGGCAACCATTCACCGCCTTTGTTGTCTCTTCAGCTCTATAAACAGAATAGTTCTCCAACTCTTGAACAGTTTGGTTCTCTAATCCTCCTGAGTCACGGAAATCATTTTTGTATTTATTTCTAGCCGAATGATTGGAGGTATATGATGACAATGAAGTCCCTTTGACCTCTTCATCATCAAATGGGTTGGTACTCGTGTTTTGGGTAACTAGCGAAGGCTCTGAAGAAGTCCTCCTGGAGGTTGTTAGGGCTTGCTTGTTATCTGACTCACCATCAGAATCAAAAGGATTTGAGCCAGAAATTCTAGAGTCAACTGAGGTATGTCTAGCGTTCCTATGCAGTGGAGATTTCTTGTGACCAAACATCTTGAAAAACTAGCTATGCAAATTCAGATACGGCAATACAGAGAGTTAGATTCTGAAG